GTAACCTAGCGCTGCATCTGAAAATCCAGGTGGCGCTATAAAAACATGTGCAGGCCGTCCGCCATATTTCTTTTTCTCTCTTTCGGCTACGCTACGCACGACGAATGGATGTTCTGTACCGAAGCATGCTTGTAACCGATCGAGCTTTTACTCAATAAGTGTAAAACAAAATTTTGTACATGATTGTAAATAAACTTTCATGGTGAGATATAAAGCTTCGGTTATTTTATATAATCAACGAACACTCAAGTTAAGTGGTGCATCAACCACCACAGCCTGTATTCTTTTTTACTCGTCAGATTAGGAATAATGTCGCGCGGGCCGGATAGAACATTTCAGGGAGCCGCATCTGGCCCGCGGGCCGTAGTTTGCCCATCACTGATCTAAACCGTTCAAAAAACACTGTGAGGAATTTTTAGGACCAGTGATTAATAGAGAGCAATTACACATAGCACACATGCTTGGGGCACTTTCAGCAGACCACTAGTCTGAAAGGACCCGGTCGGATGACAAATACACTCGCTGACGACCCGTTTGTTGTCCAACATACGGACCAGGGTGGCTCCATTATTATAGAACCGTGCGTCTCTCAGCAGCATTTCCAGGCCACAGGATAAGAAACATTTGGTATTACGGCTGCTATCACGAATTCAAATTGACTCCATCCACTGTCATCTCTGATATGAATGGTGACGCTCCTAACAAGTCTGGACCACTACAGAATGTTACTTGGTCGTCTACTGCAATGAATTTAGATTCAATTTCAGCATTGATGACAATCGTGTTTATGTCTGCAGGTCCTGTGTTGAACTTTTTAATCCTGGCTGCATTTTGTGCAGCACATTGACCCACATCCAGTTTGGTAGTCTGGGGTGTCACGACAGCCAGTCACTTCTAGTAACGATTCAAGAGACCACGATAGCCCTGAAGTATGCTAGTGACATCCTACAGCCACATTGTTGTCTCTTAGGACAGGGCTCCCAAGAGCCAGTTCCCAACAGTAAAATTTTCGAACACACACACGGCAATGGTGTCAGTATACTGCCTTTGCCATATTTCACACTTCTTTTGACACTCACGATTCCGTGATTTGTCACCGACTGAACATCTCTGGAATCCGATGGAATGCAATATTGGAGTGTGCAGAAATTTGACGAAACTAGAGAACTATTTGCAAAAAATATGGACCGAGATACCGCCAAACACAACACAGCACTCGTATGCCTATATGCCTGCCAGCATCACAGGGTGTATTCACGCTAAAGGTTGCCTAACAGTGTGCTTACTATAATATTTTTTCGTTTGTACGTATTCCAACAATAAATGATTCTTTTACTTTCATTTTGTAATTACTTACTTATGCCGCTATTGCATTCACAACGTACAATTTAATTCCATTTTAACAACTCTGGTGCGCTAACTTATATTGAAAGGTGTGTATGTTAATGACGTTTTGTAATTCTTGTAATTAATTTATATTTTCTACGTTTCAATGAATTTCTTTACAAGTCACTTTTAGTTTAAACAGTGTATGCAATGCAAATTTTATTCAAACTAAACGTGACTTGTAAAGAAATTTATTTAAACGTCCAACATTTATTTATTTATTTATTGTAGGATATTAGATTATTTCCTAAAGGAGATCAGACAATTGTAGGAGAACGAGGTGTAATTATGAGCGGTGGGCAGAAGGCAAGAATTAATCTAGCAAGGTAAGATCGACCTTTCTTAATTATTGTATTTCTAGGAATACAAAAATGAAAATACAATTTTAATAGGAATAAGCCAGAAGCACTGTAATAATAAATTCATTCTAAGAAAATCAGTTTAATGCTTCTAAGTATATTGATTTTTAAATTAATTATAATATCCTGATAAAAACGTTACTAAGAAATCTGCATTAATTTAATAGGCTGACGCAGAAATTTTGGTTTGTTTAGTTTTTCCAACAATAATAGCACATCCAGTGATTTCATAGAAATTTTTTTTAATTTCATGTAATATTGATGAAGTTTTCTTGTACGTCTTATTGCAAAATATCAATAATTATCGCATAAGTTTAAAGAAAAATGATTAATAAACAAAAGAGTTATATATTATTACTAGCTGCAAGGACCCGCTTCGCTGAGTTTTTAAAAAGTAACGATAGTAAAGATTAAGATAAGATTGGCTATAATGTAATTATCATTATAGCCAATCTTACCCGTTTTCACAGAATGCATGAATTAGGTCTTCCGTTTCCAGACTAATTAGAGACCTGGTCCCGATTCTATTTCTGAACGTCTCCTGTTCACCTCAAGTCAAACGAACTCTTTTTAACGTTTCTGGAACGTTTACAATCGTTCTATAATCGAACCAATATTCAAATTTTACGTTCGAATTAAATTCGAACAAATTCGAACAAAACATTCGAAATAGAAAGCCACTTTCAACCACTTTTAGCCCCATATCTCCCGCACCCTTATAGCTATCGAGACGCAACCACCCTGGTGCACGAATGGAGACTTGGGGCTACTACCACATACAAACACCATTCACGTGCGATGTGTAGTTTTCGCGAAAAAGTGAAATATAGGGACATACATGTCCATTTATATATATATACTAGCTGCAAGATCCCGCTTCGCTGGGTTTTTATTTGTATGTAATAGTATAGTTTTTATATATATATATATATAAAAGACTGTTTTTCTAAGTAATCTAGAATCTAGCTGCAAGGACCCGCTTCGCTGGGCAAAAAGTAACGATAGTGAAGATTAAGATAATTACATTATAGCTAATCTTACCCGTTTTCACAGAATGCAAGAATTAGGTCCCCCGTTTCCAGACTAATTAGAGAATTTTTACGTTTAGTCAAACAAACTATTTTCAACGTTTATGGAACGTTTACAATCGTTCTAAAATCGAACCAATATTCGAATTAAATTCGAAAAAATTCGAACAAAACATTCGAAATAGAAAGCCACTTTCAACCACTTTCAGCCTCATATCTCCCGCACCCTTATAGCTATCGAGACGCAACCACCCCTATGCACGAATGGAGACTTGGGGCTACCACCACATACAAACACCATTCACGTGCGATGTGTAGTTTTGGCGAAAACGTGAGATATAGGGACATACATGTCCATTTTTATATATAGATATAGATATAGATTAGTGTTGCAACGAATAGTATATTCGGCCAGGAGCGTGGCGAAATAGCCGAATATTCGGCCAAACTATTCGGCTTGATTAACGCACGTACGAAAATTGCCGCGAAAATCGCATTATGGCAAGGACTCTGCTCTCTACTGGCCCACTGTCACTACGTCATGGGTAGTCCGCAATGCTAATGTGAGAAACATCTTCCAGTTTTTGGGGTTCTGGGTCCAGTACTTTAGAAGATATTAACTACTACCGTTGATTTTTTCGGCACCCTCTAACTTCCTTCCGGTGGGCTACTTCTGAAAGATATTCGGATAATTCTTAGAAGACATAAAATGTAATACTCTGAACATTTTATAATTATAGCTCTTATAGTTTTTGAATAATGGCAATTCTACGATTTATTCTTATTTCAACTTTTCAATCACCATAGCAACTGTCATTGACCTTTTAGTCAGGAACTTTCTAGAACAATTACAGAAAGTTGCATTTTCTACGTTTCTATACATAATTTCAGACATATTACAGTCGAACCCCCTATAAGATCATAGATACGTTCCATTCTTTAGAAATCCGATTTCTTACCAGTCCTTCCAATTACAGCCCGACACGTGTGAAGTTTACGGACTACGGCTGATTGAAAGGTTTTCTTCCATAAAATTAATCGATTCTAGACTAATCCGACTCAACATTTCCAAAATACGTATAT